TTGAGAAGGATTGGTATTCTTTTTTGAATGTTTGGTAGAATTCATCAGTGAAGCCATCTGATCCTGGACTTTGTTGGGAGGATCTGTTTGTTTGTTTGTGTTTTTTAAAATATATTTTTACTGATTTAGAGAAGAAGGGAGTGGGAGAGAGAGAGAGAAACATCAATGATGAGAGAGAATCATTGATCAGCTGCCTCCTACAGGCCTTGCACTGGGGAATCAAGCCCGCAACTCAGGCATGTGCCCTGACCGGAATCAAACCCTGACCTCCTGGTTCATAGGTTGACGCTTAACCACTGAGCCATGCTGGCCAGGCTGCTGGAGGTTTTTAATTATGGATTCAGTCTCCTTACTGATCTATTCAGATTTTGTATTTCATCATGATTCAGTCTTGGTAGGTTGTATGTTTCTATAAATTTCTCCATTTCTCCTAGATTGTCCAATTTGTTGGGATATAATTGTTTATAGTATACTCTTATGACCCTTTGTATTTCTGTTTTATCACTTGTAACATCTCCTCTTCCATTTTTTATTTTGACTTCCCCTTATGAATTTTGGGGACAGACACACGAGTAGAATTGCTGTTTTAGGGGGTATGTGTGAACTTAATATGACCAAGTAGTACCTGGTTTCTCCCTCAACAGCTGCCCTAGCTATACCCTAACTGGCAGTGCCTCTAAATTCCCGCATCTGTGTTAACACTTGGCATTATCCAGCTTCTTCATTTTTGCCAGTCATACCTATGTGGAGTGATAGCTCTTTCTGGTTTCAATTTGTGTTTTTCAGATTACTATTGAGTTTGGGCATCACTTCATTTTCTTGTTAGTCTCTGGGTTTCCTCTTTTAGAATCCACCTGCCCATGGCCCATTATTATACTGAGGCTCTTTTTTCCACCTTGATGATTTGCAAAAGTTCCTCATATCTCTTAGGCCCCTTCTCAAACTGCACAGGGATCTTTAATGCTGTAGTTGCTCATCTGGGACCAAGGAAGCGATCTGACCACTGACTCCTCACACCTTCATCCTGGGGGTCGGGGCTTGGTAATGGCCATACATCCAGTCAAAGTAAAAGGAGCCCCTTCCTCCCATACCCTCTGCTAGGCTTGCCTGAGGCTTGTTGTCCAGGAAGACAGGTAACAAGGAAAATAAACTCTTTTTCTTTCCCGGGGCTGCTAACCTGCTGTGTCAATTTCATGAGTTAATAAATGATTGGAGAAGGTTTAATTGCATCAGAAGAAATTCAGATCAGCCAGAGCTTATGCCCCACTCAATTAACCTCTGCTCCTAAGGGGGCCAGGCATGGAGCAGGGGACGGCCATCATTAATTACATGTGCTGGTGCCAGCTGCGGCTGGCGTTTCCTTCCTGCGTTTACCCAGGCAGTGAGGTAGGTGACTCTGCCTCAGCGCAATGAAGACAATGAGGGCAGGGACCCTTCAGAGAGAGCACAGACCCCGGTCTGCATAGAGTGGGAAACCTACTTCCCAGCACATTCTTTCAGGGCTTTTAATGTGCCCCAGCCTCCACTAGAAGAATGGCCTCTAAGGTCCCATCCTGACCTCTTTATTGGCTCCATCCCTCACAGGGTCCCATGTCCCTTTGGTTCTCTTCCCTTCTCCTGCTACTTTCTGGCCTGTTCACCCCAAGGACGCAGAATCCAGTGCCAGTCTTGTTATGGGCTGCAGGTTCTGCAAGGTCACCCACCATCCCTGGGCCTCCAGCCTGAAATCCTCCCAGAGACCTTTATCCCTGCACCATTCCCCAAAGGACCAGATGGTAAGGCTCAGCCCTGTTATAAGCACAGATTCTGGGGCCCCTGCCTGGAGATGCTATTTTAGGAAGTCTGGAGTCTCTGTTTTTCTAACACATGGCTCAGGTGATTCTTACCATCAGCCAGTTTGAGAAACCCTACTCTAGGGGACACTTTAGTTCCTGGTGAAATACGTGCAGACCTTCTGGAAGGAGAGCAGCATCCTTAATGGTAGGCCCTGGCTCCACTCCCAGTGTCTGTCCCACTCTGTCTCTATCTTGCTATGTGTGATTAAGCAAGTCACCTGTGCTCTCTGAGCTTGGTTTCTTCATCTAGAAAATAAAAAAATATTGATCCAGTTCTCTTAGAGTTTTCCCATTTCTGTGGATCATTTTTCTATAAGTAACTGGCATGTTAAGCAAGCATATTGCATGGTTTGTCCTCAAAAAGCAACTTTGATTTGTTTTCTTCAAGCATCCTTTTATTTTTTTAAATATATTTTTATTGATTTCAGAGAGAAAGGGAGAGAGAGAGAGAAACATCAATGATGAAAGAGGATCATTGATCAGCTTCCTCCTGCATGCCCCACACTGGGGATCCAGACCACAACCTTGGCATATGCCCTGACCAGGAATCTGACTATAACTTCCTGGTTCATAGGTCAACGCTCAACCACTGAACCATGCCGGCCAGGCCATCGCTTTACTGGGAGAAATCTTCCCCTGCCCTGAGTTAAAAACTTGGGCCAATCTCATTGCTTTTTCATCCACTCTTATAGTCTTACTAGAGGCCCAGTGCATGGATTCGTGCATCCATGGGGGTCCCTCGGCCTGGCCTGTGCCCTCTCACAATCCGGGACCCCTTGGGGGATGTTAAATAGCCGGTTTCAGCCCGATACCTGCAGACCCAATTCAGATAGGAGGGAGCCCGATCCTATGCATTGAGCATCTGTCCCCTGGTGGTCAGTGTGCATCATCGCGACCAGTAGTTCGGTAGCTTAGGCTTTTATATATATAGATAGGCACTCCAAGTTATAGATGCCATCTCAACTCAGAAATTATATCAAAATGAGTAGTAATCAAGCACTCCTAATCTGCTCTAGCTGGTTTGGCTCAGTGGATAGAGCATCGGCCTGCAGACTGAAGGGTCCCAGGTTTGATTCTGGTCAAGGGCACATGCCTGGGTTGCGGGCTTGATCCCCATAAGGGGGCGTGCAAGAGGCTGCCAATCAATAATTCTCTCTCATCATTGATGTTTCTATCCTTCTCCCTTTCTCTCTGAAATCAATAAAAAAATATATATATTTTTTAAAATATATTTTATTGATTTTTTTACAGAGAGGAAGGGAGAGGGATAGAGAGTTAGAGACATCGACGAGAGAGAAGCATGGATCAGCTGCCTCCCGCACACCCCCTACTGGGGATGTGCCTGCAACCAAGGTAGATGCCCTTGACTGGAATCGAACCCGGGACCCTTCAGTCCGCAGGCCGATGCTCTATCCACTGAGCCAAACCAGTCAGGGCAAAATATATATTTTTTAAAAATCCACTCCTAATTTGACAGCGTTAGGCTTCTTCTTTCCTCCACTTTGGATCTGCTTCAGTATGGAAGCAGGTTGGGTTGAAGGCCATGCCCACCTGCTATCTACACTCCCTCTTACACCCCACCCCCAAGCTGCCGGTCTAAATGCCAGAACTGAAATGGAAATCCCAAGAGACCAGGGAGATGCTTCAAGATGGCTCTTGCTTTTGTGAATGTTCTTGTGGGCTCTTTTGAGGTTCCCTGTTGGGCCCCCCTCTTCTGCAGTTCCCTTACCCCAGGTGTCCCTTACAACTTGCCCAGCACCTGGGCCTCTGGAGGTCACCTCCAGCCTCATCGGCTGGGGTCTTCTCAGGCCTCCAGGTGGCACTGTTGGACAGGACTCAAGATGGCCACCCAGGCCAGCTCCACAGCCCTCCTCCCTTGGGGCCTGGAGTGAGGGATCCATGGCTCAGCCACAGTTCTTGCGAAGGAAATCTTCCTCACCAAGTTTTTGACCCATTTGTATTTTACAAAATGCCGTGAAGGGTTCATGGATCCTGAAACAGATGTTCTGACCTTCCCATGTCCAGTCTTCTGCGCATAACCCAGGAAGAGGGACCCATCCCAAACTCACAACTCAATCAAAACTTAGGGAGGGCGAGTCCTGCTCTGGCATCCAGCTCCATATGGCTTCCATTTTAATGAGGGTGAGAACATCTTTGAGAAAAGAAAACCTGAGTTCTTGTACACCCAAGGCAGAGGCTGGTGACAGTATTAAAGCCTAGATCTAGAAGGGAGGTGAAGGCAGGGATGGAGCAACTCTGTAGGTGACCATCTGTCTTCTCCTGGAGCCCTGCTCCTGACTTGCTCTGTCCCCAAAGAAGGCGGCTTTGCCAATCCTGTTAATGGTTGGGTTCCTTCCCCAATCAAACACACACGCAGTGGGACCTACCCTGCTTAGGTCGGTGAGCAGGATGGGGCATCACCACCAGAGTGTGTCCTTCTTCTCCCACACCCCATTCCCAGTGTAAGGCTCATACTCCTCTAAATAATGTGGAGAGGATATTAAAAAATTTTTGGTTTGAAGGAACCCCCACTAATTAGTCTACACTGGGTTTCTAAATGTTTCCATTGGATCCTGCCTCCTCCATCCTCCGTGAGCACATCAGAATGATGATCTTGTCACATAATGATCTTGTCATGTTGTTGGACTTGTTCGTCCAATGGTCCAGTGGCTATGCTGGCCTGAGGGGTGCCGGGATATCAAAGAAAGGGAAAGGAGTGTGCAGCTTACGGGAATGTGGACAGGCCCAGAGGAGAATGAAGGAGAGAATGGGAAAGAGGAATGCAGGGCCATTGAGAAAGGTATCATCCGTGCAGGCAACAGGGACACCGCACCAGCAGACAGGTCAGAATTCTCCAGGGAAGCATGAGGCAGAACTCTTCACCCACGGAGCCTCACTTCCAAGAACAGGCAGGGACTCCTGCTCAGTGCCCTGCTGCTGCTCTGGGCAGAGGGTTCTGGACAGTGGCACTGAGATAGAACGTGGCCTCGGGTTCTTTGTCCAGGGACCTCAGAAACCAAGGCAGCTGCGGAAGTCAAGAAGGAAGCCCTTTTGGGGACATCCACTCCAGAGTCTTGGGGTCACAACCTGGTGCCAGAGTGAGCCTGTCTATCCTCTCGGCCTCCCCTCTAGCTCTCACTGACCTCTCCCTCTCTTCTCCAACAGGGACTGATGCCCTTGGCCATGACGCAGCCCCAAACACTGTCTGCTCAGGCTCAGCCTGTTTGACGAGTCATCTCATCGCTGCCCCAGGTGTTTCAGGTAAGTGTGAGGCTCAGGCCAACCCTCTACCCGAAAAAACAAGGTGCGGAGTGTCAGTGGGGAGGGAGCTCCAGTGAGTCCTGGTCACAGAAGGCAGACTCAGGGTATTTAGTTGACAACAGGTTTGTCCTTTTTGGCTGCCCTCAGCCCCTGAGTTGGCCCCCACTAAATCCATTCTGTCCAGATCTGTGAGGTCCTGGGAGGAAACAGGGGACCTCTTTCTCCTGTCCTCAGGAGGAGGCTGGTATGAAGGAAACTCCATAGCAGGGATCCTTGGGTCCTAACTGAGACTCTTGCTGTCGTATGACCTGTCAAGGCCAGCCTGACAAGGTTGAGCCGGGCTGAGGCAGGGAGGTGGGAATTGAGAAAAGAAAGACAGGAAAGCAGGATCGGGAGGACTCCAGTTCTCTCAATGAACTGAAGCAACTTTATTAGCCACACAATCCTATTTATACATAACACACTGAATAGGAGGTCTGTCAAGAGGAATGTATTCTTTGTTCCTCTTAATCTCTAAGGGAGAGACACAGCAGAAGGACAAGTTCTCAGTACAGCATATCTCAGTAAATAGTTACAGACTTCTTGGTAAGCTATGAAAGGCTGTTCTTATTCTACAAAGGTTGCTCTCATTCTACTGATAATCACCATCCAAACAAGTCTGGGAAACCTTGTGGGTAAGAGTTTCAGCCTTGCTAGCCCCTTCAGGTGCAAGGACCTTGCCAGCTTACATCTGGCCTCCAACAATGACCGGGCAAGTCATGTAATGGCCTGGGTTCCCCTCATGTGTGGAGTTCTTGTACAGTCCAAAAGAGGTGTTAGGTCTCTTTTGCTACATAACAGACTACCACAAACTGAGCAGCTTAAAACAACACACATCGATGATCTCATCGTTCCTGTGGGTCAGGACTCCAGGCGTTGCTCACTGGTCCACTGCTTCAGGGCCTGAAATGAGGCTGCATTCAAGGTGTCCACTGGGGTTGCATTTTCATTTGAAAGCTCAACTGGGGAAGGATCCACTTCCACTCTGACTTATGTGATTATTCAGTTCCTTTTGGGTCATTGGCTCGAGGACCTCCATTCCTTCTGTCCAGTGGACTGAAGGACAGAAGAATCTTCAGTTCCTTGTTACATGGGCCTCCTCAACATGGCAACTTACTGTGTCAAAACCAGCAAGGGAGAAAGTTGGCCAGCAAGAAGGGGAAGCCAGAATCTTACATAATCTATTCACAGAAGTGACATCCCATCACCTTACTGTATTGTGTTGGGTGGAAGAGGTCACAGGTCACACCTAGCCTGATGGGCAGAGGAGTACACAGGACATAGAGCTCATTTGGGGCCTTAGAGCCTGCCCATCATAGGAGAGGATACAGATGAAAGCATGTTGTAAACTGTAGAGTGCTATTTAGATGTACTGAGTTATTGTTATCATTTGCATATAGTTACAAAGAGAAAATTAGCCCATCTGAAGTAATAGAGAGCCACTGGATGTGGAAATTTAAATGCTAAATTGTACCATTAGCTCTGGGCCCTCAGGGAAACCAACTGGGGCCTCGCTAGCTCACTGCATGCCTTCTTGATTTATGATTGTAAGGCCAGAGTTAAGCAGCCACAAAATGTCTAGGTCTTCCTTTCCGCCACAACTAAGGATCTTTTAGTTTACAAGGGGCCCTCGCAGACATGAATCTTACTTTTTGCTCAGAATCAACCTGTAAACTGAGTTTTTGGTTAATTGCCCTTTTACAAATGAGAAAGGTGGTCAGTTTCCAGGCTGGGGTGGCTGGTAAGTGGTAAAATTGGGTCTTGAATGGGCCTTCACACCCATGATTGCTTTCATTGCCATCTTCTCCCCCCCACCCCCAATCATTTCTGCTCTACAGCCTTCAAGGTACTGAAAGAAGGGAGACCAGGCATGGAGGGCAGGAGGGAGGGCACTGTTCTCATAAGGCATCACAATCCCCTGTCTCCTAACAGGCTGGGCACACCCCAGGGGACTAGGCCAGAACTTTCAGCAGAATGGGTCTCTGCTGCCTCCCCCAACTTCAGTTCACTCCACAGGCCTGTGTCTCTTAAGCGGCCCTTGGTGGTACATAAATGTGAAGGTACATAAATCCTCCCTAGGCTGAGCTTCATCCCACATCAAATGTCCAGTGAACCCTTGAAGCATGGACCACCATGTACCTGGACAAAGTTATACGGGTCTTGAACCACATCTGTATATAGGATGTGAGCTGAGAGATGCAACTTGCTGCCCCCTGGTGGTGGATCAAAGTCATAACTGCCAGAAATACTATACCAGATGAGTTGCTGGTGCCAGGCACTGTGTGTGATGCTGCAGGGAGATCAAAGCAATATAAAGCACAACCCTAATCCCAAAGGACTCAAAATTTAGTAGAGGAGTCAAGATATTCGCACACAGATGTTGACAAGCGTCCTACCAAGTCAGGTTTGAAGAGTGGCACAGGGAAAGGGTTGTGAGGAGCACAGAAAGGGAGCATCGCGGTGGGGCAGTCAGGGAGGCTTCCTAGAGCCTCCAGATATGGGCAGGACTTAAATAGATGGAGAAAGCGAGGTCATGCACTCCCCTCCCGAAAGCCCTTCGGGAGCCCCATCATCTCCGAGAGTTAAGTCCCTTGCCTGGCTTATAGACTGTCCAGCTTCATGCCTCCCCCTCCCTGTCCAGGCCCTTCCAGGTTCCTTACAGGTCCTGGAGCACCCATGTTCTTTCACACTCCTGCCCTCTCCACCATGTCTCCTGGACAAGCTCCTACTCAGCTTTTAGGATTCTGCTCACGCTTACACCTTCCTTGTAACCTTTCCCCGAGTACTTGGTGGCCCCTCCTCTGTGTTCCCCCAGCCCTTGGTCTGTATGCCTCCTTTTGTGTGTCCTATACCAGATCATAAGGTGTGTTCAGTGTCTTTTCATCACTAGGCTATAAACACCATATTGGAAGCTACATTAAGTGTCATTTTATGCCCAGGCTTTAAGGTTCCTAAGAATGAGGCCTGCCTGATGGGCAGAGGATTCGTGTAGGGGGGGTCCTAGGGGTGAGGAGGGGGAACATGAATTGGTGGTGAGCATGCAGGGATGTGGGGCAGGACAAAGCTTTTGAAGTTTGGTCTAAAAGTTCCCGCCCAGGTAAACATCCTGCAGGCAGTGTGATGCTGGGAAGGCTCTGGAGGAAGACAGGGGCATCGGGGCATGATGAAAGGCTAAAGTGGGGGCTGCTCAGAGACAAACTAGTGAAATCGATCAGGAAGCCGTTGCACCAGGGCAGGCATGACATGCAAAGTGTCTTCACTGATGAACAACAGAAGACTAGGGGAGCCTTAGAAGAATTTGAGGATTTGGCCCTAACCTGTTTGGCTCAGTGGATAGAGTGTCGGCCTGAGGACTGAAGGGTCCCAGGTTCGATTCCAGTCAAGGGCATGTACCTTGGTTGCGGGCATATCCCCAGTGGGGGGTGTGCAGGAGGCAGCGGATCGATGTTTCTCTCTCATCGGTGTTTCTAACTCTCTATCCTTCTCCTTTCCTCTCTGTAAAAAAATCAATAAAATATATTTAAAAAAAGAAGAATTTGAGGATTTGAACATCTGAGCAACTAGGGGAACATGTGAGGCCTTGTCAAACTCTACTGTGCAAATTAACCATCTGGGACCTTGTTACAGTGCAGATTCTGCCTCATTAGGCCTGGTGTGGGGCCTGAGATGCTGCGTTTCTGACTGACTCCCGGGTGCTGCCCATGCCGTGGTCCACAGCCCTCACTGTGAGCAGGTCGAGTGAATTAGAAGTAGGGCTGGGGTACATGCTGTGCTCCAGGAGCACATGGTGAGGAGCAGATGGTGTCTTTGGGTGAAGAGAAGGTGCCCCTTCCTCCACGTGAACACAGCACGGTGGTGCGTGGCTTCTTGAGCAGAAGCAATGTGTGGCCCCGCCCCATGTGCCCTTTGAGTAACGAACAACCTGCAAGGGCCTCCATAGCAGCTCTGTGGAACCACTGACAGAGGTCGGAGAGGGGACCCATGTGGAGAGCGGGTGATGACTTAGCCTGAGTTCGAGCTGCCAGTGGGACATCCGAGCGAGATGTCTGTCCACTAGCAGTTGGAGACAGAGCTGGAGGCCCAGGCTTGGGACCTGTAGGCTTCCTGACGATAGAGCACACAGTGAGGGGAGAGGAGGAGGTGAGGTGGAGCTCAGGGACCAAGCTAACCTGTGGGGCCTTCTTCAGGGTAACACTCTTCTTCCAACATCTCTGTCCCTTTTATTGTCTTGCAGGTCACCGTTCCCTGACTGAACGTAAGTGCTCACGGTCATTCTTCCACCCTCCTGCTCTGTTGGCACAACCATCCTTGGTCCCCTTGAAGCCGGGACACTTGGAAATCCCATTCAGTGTCCTGCAAGGGGAGTCGGCCTGAGGCCAGACAGCCTCGCATTGAGCTGGCCTCTGTCCCGTGAACCCACAGTAGCCAGGACCATCTCCCCAGGCTTGCCACAACCCTCCCGGAGCCAGAAGGCCGCCTACCTGCTGCCTCTAGGCCAGCGGTTCTCAACCTGTGGGTCGCGACCCCTTTGGCGGTCGAATGACCCTTTCACAGGGTTCGCCTAAGACCATCCTGCATATGAGATATTTACATTACGATTCATAACAGTAGCAACATTACAGTTATGAAGTAGCAATGAAAATAGTTTTATGGTTGGGTCACAACATGAGGAACTGTATTTAAAGGGCCAGAGGTTGAGAACCACTGCTCTAGGCTCACCTGGCCCTTATTTTCCACAGAGTTGGAAAGGGAGAAGAGATTCCCCCCAAAAGGAGTGTGGGTTTGAGCCAGGGCAGAATTGGGGAGAATTTTAGAGATTCAGACCCTGTCTTCTCCACCTAAATCAAGGGCTCAGAGACCACTCGTGTCTGGACTCCGGAGCAGTGGTTGAGAGAATAGCCACTGGGGTGAACCAGGCTGGGTGGGAGCTCAGCTAAGTCAATCAAAGCCTCGTTCATCACCTGTGAAATAGAGATCATTAAGAACCAGCCCAGCCTTAGCCGGTTTGGCTCAGTAGATAGAGCGTGGCCCGTGGACCAAAGGGTTCCATTCTGATCAAGGGCACGTACCTTAGTTGTGGCTCCTCCCTGGGCTGGGCCCTGGTCGGGGCACGCAGGAGGCAGCCAAACAATGTGTTTCTCTCACATTGAAGTTCCTCTCTGTCTTTCCTTCTCTCTTCCACTCTCCCTAAAAATCAATGGAACAAAATAAAAAACAAAAAAAGAACTAGCCCAAAGATTATGTGGAGGATTAACTGAGATAACCAGGGGAGTGCTTAGAGCAGTGGTTCTCAACCTTGGCTGCACATGAGAATCACCTGGGAATCTTTTTAAAATCCTGATTTCTGGGCCTTACCCTCCAGAAATTCTGTTTCTTTGTTACTAATGTTGTGGCCCCACCCCATAACAAAGAAACAGAATTTCTGGAGGATAAGGCCCAGAAATCAGGATTTTAAAAAGATTCCCAGGTGATTCTATTGTGCAGCCAAGGTTGAGAACCACTGGCTTAGAGCATTGAAAACAAAAGCTATTTTCCTTTGTGTCTTGGAGCCACAGGGTGGGGGGAAGGGGTATAGTTTAAGAGGGTGTGGGGACAGGAGACAGGAGATGGAAAAGAGAATTAAAGGAGGTTGAAACTGGGTAGAAACAGGAAGCAGAATTATGCCTCAGTTAGCATTCGGCCTCCTCTCTATCTTCCCTAGCCAGTGCAAGGCTGTCGCCCCTGTCGCCCCTGTCATCAGGAAGCCCCAGGTGTCCCTGGGCCCAGGGGCCTCCCTGGCTCCAGCTGTGCAGGAATTTCCAGGAGGGCTCCCTGCTCATGGCGGCTGCCCTCACCTCCACGCATCTCTCTGCAGAGTTGGATGGGGCATCGGGCGGATGACAGCGGGAACAGTTGTGATCACTGGCGGAATCCTAGCTGCGGTCATCCTCCTCTCCATCATCGCAGTCCTGTGCTACTGTAGGCTCCAGGTCAGTTCCAGGCCGTGGCCAGGAGCCGCCAGCAAACCACTTCCCATTATGGGGGCCAACCCTGGAGCCCACTTCCGGGTGACAAGGCCCAGAGCTGTGGGCTGTGGGAAGTACAAGTCAAGGGGTCTGTGAGTTGGAGGGCGGTGAGAAGGGAGCACCCCGAGAGCTCACTGTGCTATGTCTCCCCAGGGCTGGGGGGCTGAGACGTCAGGAGTGGGGGGAAGGGCGCCCTCTGGGGGGACTCTGACAGCTGCTCCCAGAGGCCCCCAGCCCTGTCCTCAGTATGACTGTATGTCCCTTCCTCTGCTGCCCTGCCTCCCCAGCCATGGCCTGGAGTTAATACACTAGGAGCAGGGGAGGGAAAGGGGAAAGTTTTGCAAGGCTGGGAATCTATACCTGTGGAACGTGGTCTCTGGGGTTGAGTTGATCAACAGTGGAGCAGGGGCGTGGTTGCCTGTGCCACTCAGAGGGGGCCCTCCGCCTCTCCCCTCAGTATTACTGCTGCAAGAAGAGCGGAGAGGAGGATGCAGAGGAGGAGGAGGAGGAGCACGACCTGCCCACCCCCTCCAGAGGGCCCCCCTGCAATGCCTGCAGCGCCCAAGCCCTGGACGGCAGAGGCAGCCTGTCGCCCATCACCAGTGAGCCCTGCGTCCAGCCGTGTGGGGTGGCAGCCGGCCACTGCGCCACCTGCTCCCCATACAGCTCCCCCTTTTACATACGGACAGCAGACATGGTGCCCAATGGCGGAAGCGAGAGGTTCTCCTTCGCTCCCACATACTACAAGGAGGGGGGCCTCCCGTCCCTCCAGCTGGCAGCACCCCAGGGTTACCCGGTGACGTGGCCAGGCTCTGCGCGCGAGGCTTTCACTAATCCAAGGGCTATCAGCACAGACGTGTAACCCCTCTCACCCCGAACCCCCACACTCACCCACACGCTGCTCCGTCAGGGGCACTGGGCCCGCGGCTGCCTCCCAACACCCCACAGGACTGTCTCTGTTTGCTTGGCTTTTCTTGCCCCGCAGTGGGAGGCTCCCCAGGATTGAAGCCATGGGGTGCTTGGATGGTAGCTGTGTCAGGTTCTCTGTTGGGACGTTCCCCGTTCCTGGGGCCAACTCCACCCCCCGGCCCTCTCCTTCCCCGCCCCACCCCCGGCTTTGCCAGTCTTGTGAGAGGAAGGAAAGCTGTGCAAAGGTCTGGAGGCCTCCAGCATCCTTGGGGGTGAAAGAAGAAGGGGGCCACAGGGCAGGGGGCCAGGGCACAGTAAACCTGCAGAATTTGAGAAGGAAGGGGATGGTGTTAAAGGGACCGCTTCAGGACTTGCTTGCTAAAACAAATCCAAAAGCCAGTTCACCATCTAGTTTTGTCTTTTTGGTTGTCAGAGACTGCAAAGCCTGTAACTGCTCAAATATAGCTGTTGATTCCTGACCACAGCACAGCTGTGACTGCACCCTTCCTTGTGGACACGTTGAGTTGGCTTTGAAGGCATCAGGTTGCTGTGAGGAATGCACCTAAAAGCGACTGTCTAAGCTTGCCACCCCCCACATCCTTGCTTTGCTTCGGGAACCAGCTGCCTCACTGAGAACCTTCTCAAGAGTTGTCACTAGAGTTTGAGTAGCTTAGCCAGTGAGGTCCTGCTGACGGTCTCCGGGGCCGTGGTCCCCCACAGCGAGCGGTGTGTGTGGGTACAGTCCCGCGGGGCGCGTGCCTTCTCTGGTGTGTGCACACACACCTGTCACCACCAGCACCAGGCTCTGCTGCCTCCAGGAGCCGCAGAGTGGAAGGGTCTCGATGTAGCAACTAGAAGGGAAAACCTGACCCCCAGGCAGCATGAGCAGAGGGTGCTCAAGGTGACCAGGCCCCACAGCAGTGAGGTGGCTGCTACCGGAGGAGGCCGAGGCGCCTCTCCGGGGATGCTGCTGCCCTGATCACCCCACTCCTCTGTCATGCAGCCACGACACAGTAGAGCCAGACCACTGGTTCCACCAGGGCCAGCACCTGAGGACCAGAGGGATCTGACTTAGCAGCTGGGTTCTGCTTGCTGCCCTCCCTCCGCTGCCTGACCCCTCGTCTCCGCGAGAGGGCCTTCTCATGGCTGTCTCACTCTAGCCCGAGTCCAGCTCCCACCTCCCACTTCTAACTCAGCCTTGGCCTCACACCGTTGGAGTGAACGCATCCGATGAGTTTTCCAGTTGCCTCTACAGTAAGGAGTGGCTACACCCCCTCTGAAGGGCATAACCAACTCCTACCCACTCCAGAGTCACTGAATGCTGCAGAGGGTGGGGCAGGAAAGGAGCTGGCCCCTCTGCGCTGAAATATTGATTCTGTATTTGAGAAAGACGGGGTGCAGCCAGGGGAGGGGAGGCGGGGAGAATTCACCACACCTTTGCATCACCGTTCAGGCTCGGGTCACCCTGCATCTCCGTCTGCGAGGCTCACTGGGTTGAGAACCAGAGGACCTCGGCCGAGCCACCCTGTGGTCACTCATTAGCTCCAGAAACAGTCACTTATCTTCTCTGAGACCCCATTTCCTCCAGGGGACTGAGGCTTGCCCAGATGGACTCCAAGGGCCCTTTGAGGACTGCCTGCCTAGGTCTGCCAGCCAGCCACACTCTCTCGCCCCAGTCCTCACAGGAGCTGGACACACTTGCCAACTGCCTGATCCTGTGTGCAGGGACACGTGCTAAGGGGTGAAAGACCACAGTCAGACATGGGGTTAGCAGGCAAAGCATTTCGAACTGTATGTGAAAAACACACATGAGAGACCTCAGATGGCACCATTTCTCTTATACCAGGAGGCAGCCCTAGGTGGGTGTGATGAGACCAGAGGGACCAGCTTAGGACAGCAGCTTTAACACACCCCATGCCTCCCCAGCCCTGACCGCGTCAAGTGCACCCCCTTGACATGAGTAGCTGGGCCTGGCAGCCCTGCCGCATCCCAATGACCAGCCCAGTGCCTTGCTGCCCGGGAATTCCATTGCCAATCACCCTGAGCAAGGGCTGTCCCTCCCCCCCACCTCCCCCCAAAAAAACCAGTGTCATCTTACCTCTTGCCTTCACAAAAATCAAAACGACCTGGTCAATGGTCACCCGCCTCTTACCCCTGATCTATTAGGGTCCGCAAGTGAGAACCATCGTGTGCAGTCCTGTCTCCTTAGCTTCCCAGCCTAAATCCTGTCAACCCACAAATGAAAATGTGTTGGGGGCATTGGAGCGACGGTGGGTGCCAGCTCTCCCACACGCAGCCCCACGCTGCTCGGGCACAGGCTCAAGATTGCCCGCCCGCCTCCCTGTAGCCGCCAGGGCCTCACCTGGCAGGAGGAGGCTCACCCCACTCCATGCACTGCACTTTTTGTGATGGGACACTATCTGGACACTTTCCAAGCTGCACCCTAAACAGGAAGAGGAGAGGCTGGGAGCACCCTGTCCTCCTGCCATCCTCTCTCCACCACTGCTCCTGCTGCGGGTTTCTTCTCCTGCGTCTTTGATAACTTGGAGTCACAACCAAGTGAATGTCAATAAATGAGGAGTTTGAAACAGAAATCCCACAGGGTCCTCCATTCTTCGCTGGGGGAGCTGGGCACAGATGTAAGGCGACCACCAGCTTCCTTTCCCCTCCTGCTTCCACGCTAACAAGTCTGGCCACCCCCTTCTCCCCTCCCCTCCCCCCCCCCTCCCCCGCCTCCACCTACCCACCATGTGTCCTGCCCCATTGCCTCAGTCCCAGCTCATGTCCAGGGAGACGTGTGGCTGTGGGAAAGGGGACTTGCAGTGTAGCTAGCTGCTGCTCCCTGGGGTAGATGCAGCCCTGCCTGCCAAGGATGAGGCTCCTCAGGATGAGAAGAGACTTTGAAAACCAGACCCTCAGCTCTGACCCCGGCAGAGGGAGGAGCAGTGGGGGTGAGGCCCAGAGAACCAGGAAACAGCTTTGTGTGCGAGAGGGATATTCAGGGGGTGGGAGGGGGGGACGTGGGTCTGCATGTGTGTCCAGGAGTGTGTGTGAGAGAGAGAAAGCGAGATGCTCTCCCCACCTCGGACCATCCAGAGCCCTGACTGCAGCTGGGTGGGCAGCGGGCAGCCTGGCTGCGCAGTCCAGCACCCCTCTCTCCAGAAGACCCCAGCATCACAGGTGAGCTACTTCCCCAGGGGATCCTCTTCCAAGGGTGGCTGGTCCCTGAGGGAGGATTTGCCCAGGCCCCAAGGGCAGCACTTGGCTCCCACCCTTCCAGTGTTTCCTGTCATCAACCACCCAACCCCTCACCCCTGTTCTACACACACACACACACACACACATACACACACCCCACCAGCAAGGAGCCTGAAACACAGGAGTTGGGGGGTGGTGATGCAGCTCCCCCCCGCCCCCTCAGTGGGCAGGACAGTTGGGTCTTCACAGGAGCTAGTGCCCAGAGGCTTGGTGGCTGCCTCACACTGGGCACCTGAGATCGCCTTCCCTCCAGGTCTCCATAGAAGAGGACGAGGCTCACTGGCCCTGGCCACAGACACCTGACCATGAAACCCACCTGGAGGAACGTGGAGCTCTCCTGCAGGTACATGCCAGTCCCCGCTGCACTCCACCCCATCCTGATACCCATACACCCTCCTGGGCTGGGTTTTCCCTTGGGCCAGAGGTTTCCTAGTCAGTGGGAATTGCATCCTTATTCTTAACGAAGGACTACTCTCCTGAGAGGATGTGTGTTCTGGGTCTAACTAAACATCCTACAATCAAAGCAGAGGCCTGACCCTGCTAACAGCATCCCCTGAATTCTTCCTCCAAACATACAGGCCTATTATTCTAAACTGCAAAACATAAATCAGGTTTTCAAAGTCGAATTCAGATTTGGTAGAAAGCTCTTCTGTGAACTATGTCAGTAGGTTGTTGCTTTTAGTTGAGGATAGAATAGTGGGGGTAGAAAGCCAGAAGGGGGTAAGGGGCCGAGATGGGTATTGCAGGGCTTCTGCTCCGATTCTCCTTTGGCAACAGTCTAAGGTAGAAACTGTCAGCACTGTCTGGATTCTCCCACTCCCCACACGCAACTGAACGCATTTCCTATCGGCACACCCCAGGTTGGGAGCCATTCCCAGGCTCTAGCTAACAACCCCAAAGCCAAAAGCCTCGTTAGGACTAGCACCGGAGATGCCCAGTGAGAACGGCAGGTTCCAGGCGCAGGTGTCCTGCATCCTTCTCTTGGCCGCGAGGTCACCCCTCCACACGGGGCTCTTCGGTTTTTGAATTTGCCAAATGAGGGCAATTTTCTTTCCTTCCATTGACGACCACGTGCCCATCTCTATAAACTTGCTATTTTTGGAGATATAATCAAGAATCAGTCAACTGAGGAAAAGTAAGGAACTTTATTTTTGGTAAAACCAGACGACTGATTTGAATAAGGCACATTCTTCAACATCCATAAGAAACAAATGCAAAAGCAGTCACAGCGAGGAGGGAAGGGGCACACCAAGACCCTTGACACGAACACTGGCACAGCCTTCTTTTTTGGTAAGTAGAGAAAAATCAAAGTGCAGTTGTTTGAACGTCAGCGTGCTCTTCTTTATTTGATGACAGGGATGGCAGGTAGGTTTACATCTCGTGTCATCTGATCAACGAGGAGCAGCTGCCTAAGCTTCGTGCTGAGGAGGCTGCAGCCCAGCGTGGGCTCCGGGAAAGGACGATCGAGATCGCTGCGCCTAACGTCTTGCCAACTCTACCCTGCCGTGATGTTTCTCGGCCTGCTGCTTCCCAAGTCCAAAGCATTCTTTCATTCCGGTGAGTGCTCTTAGCCAACGGCAAATTTATTTATTTATTTATTTTTTAATATATATTTTTTCTATTGGCTTTTTACAGAGAGGAAGGGGAGGGATAGAGAGTTAGAAACATCAATCAGCTGCCTCCTGCACACTCCCCACTAGGGATGTGCCCGCAACCAAGGTACATGCCCTTGACTGGAATAGAACCTGGGACCCATCAGCCCACAGGCCGATGCTCTATCCACTGAGCCAAACCGATTAGGGCAGCCAACGGCAAATTTAGTTTCTGAGCCCCAATGAGGAACGTGGGCGGTCATTTCCCAGGACAGAAACCGATCTCTGGATTTTTACAAGCTGAAATAGATACTGCAGGTAGTACTGGCAGGGAAGTCACTGAAGACTAAATCACTTACCTTTCAGATTATTTGCAGATTAGAGGATGCTGATTATGTGCTCAGGCTCCTCCTTGGTTTACGTATGTATTTTTAAAAACAGGTAGAGAAGCCAGGCCCTCGTCGTGACAGGGCAGTTTATTAGAAACGAGTTTCAAGAGCCCAGTCTCAGTGTCACTGAAGCAAATTTAGGCCACAACCTGACACCTACTGTTAACAAACAGGAATAAGGCCTAGATTAATGTCATCTGGAGACACTGTTTAACATGGATATCTTAATTTAGCTCTGTCTAGAATTGGCAACATCTTTTTTGCAAATATATTATCCACAGGTATGTGACTCTGAGGCTCAGTATTTGATAATTTCATGGGCACCTTTAGAAAAAACTTTAAAATAATCTTTTTGTATTTCAAGGATTATGATTAAAGTATTTGTAATCAATAATATTCAAAATACATATATAAAGACACATATCAACAGTGAGACACAGTGTTCAAGATACAATTTTGAAAAATAAAACCATTATGACTACAACAAATCTCAAAATGAATACTCAGATCAGTAAACCAAATATGAAATGAATACTGATGTTTAACTACACAGTCAACTTGAAAAACAGATTAAAAACTGCTTTTATAAAATGATATATTGAGCACTTTACAAAGATGTACTGGTTTATTTCTATAATTGTTTTATTTTCAAATGATAAAAAGTTTTCATGTTGCTATTTGAAATAAGCTGCATGCATATAAGCTTAATTCCCATCAAATGATAACCCTAATCAGGTATAAGAATTACATTTTCGTGTTAACATTAGTTCTTAAAATGCTCAACACCTGGATATGCTGCATAAAAAAATATGCCAATTGTTTGATGCCAATGCTGCGTAAAAAATATGCCAATTCGGTCCTGGTGAAATTCATGTTGCTGAACTATCACTTTCACATGCTGTATTTGTTGGTTATTGTCGTGCTCATTATACTACCTGTTTTTAGCAGATAAAAATATAAATCAAACAGTTAAAAACTGAAAGGGTCAAAGCCACCTCAGCAGCTAGCACTGTTCAGTGGGGCCCTTAGCTGGGGGATGGCGGGCCACAGGCATCTGAGCCTTACCAGATGCCTGTAAACTTGGAGGCTTTCAAATGAAACCCAGTTAAATTATTTTATTGATTTAAAAAATAGAAACAATGTCATTATCACCTTTAGTGATATGATCAATCCCCCCTCCCCCCCAAACTTCTCTGCCAACCCTTACAAACTATCCCTCAGGGGGGAAAAACTCAAGTCCAGAGACGATTTCTCATTCCACCAGTTGCTTCTAGAATTCTGATGTCAATCAAAAAGTGATTTATGTTCATATATAATGTAATGAGATTTGTTCTGTGATAATTAAACGGTGATGTTTGGGTATTATGTATGGTATCATGTGCCCACAAGTCATTGTTCTAAGTCAAATAAGCAAAATATCTATTATAGTAATGAAAGATGAACTACTAGACACACAAAAGAAAATTTGGAAACTTGAAAAATGTAAAAAAATAGAAACAATCGAGTTGAAATTAACCTGAGTCTATTAGATAATAAATTTTATTTGTTCATTTAAAAATATAAAGTTTTATGCTTTAAAAATAATCACTTTTTTCAAAGACCCAGAGTTAATATACTGCTTCTTTTTAGAATGATTTCTGAATAGACAGAAAATTGACAACAGTTCAGTTGATTGCACTTATATATGGAAGAGTGGTTTTTTTTAACAAAGGCTAAACAGCAAAAAGAAGTTATGACTTTGAAATTTCCTTTTCTAAATTATATCCAAAAGAAATGATGAAAAACCATATTCAACTTAGTGCAGAAAAAAAGAATCTTTGTTTCAACTATGGTCTGAGTCACTGATGTATTAGACATGCACACTTCACACTGGTTCTTTATAGACCTGAGGGAGCCAGGTCAGCTGGCCAGCGTCACAGTTCTACAAGGCACCATTGGTTTATGGGCTTTAATGCTAGCATCTGAGCTCTAGAAATACAGAAAAAAATGTGAATATGGCATATAGACCTCTCTTCACTTTCCTCTGAGTGTATATTGGATAGATATTATAATCACTTTGCTTTAACTTTTTATTCAGGCAGGTCTTGCCTCAACTCTATTGGAAAATTCCCTCATGAAGTCCCAAAGAAAATAGTTCCTTTAGGTACTAGTATGCCTCTACCTCAACTGAGCACAGGTAGGCCTTGGTTAGAATAGATTTATCCATGTTTCGTGTGACGGATATTTTCAAATACATTCTCCCCCCATGTCTTTATGATTGATTTTTAGGTATTAAGAAACATACTTACATCTTCCTACAGTTTCCAAACTCCTTCCAAACTTTAATCCCATGACTTCTCTGCTCTCATAGCAACAGAGAGGCCAAATCCTGGTTGAAACATTCCAGTAGTTGAAATAGACCAGGAACCTGGGATAGGACTGCTGTGTCATGGGACACCCTTCCTGAGGTCAAAGCCATTTACTAGAGTTCTGCTTTCAGAGCTGAAATGCAAAACAAAAAACTCCCGTCTCCATAAATACTGTCTCAATCTTTCTACAATCACAGAACACGGCCAAGAATTAACATTGACCGTTAGAACCTCTTAGAAACTATTTACCATGTTGCTTCCTCTCACTACATCCACACCTCTTCCATTTCTCTGTTAACCTAATGGCACTTCTAACTAGCAGGTAAAGAAATGAGGTGCAGTATAGAATGTTCTAACACTGCTTAACAAGTAAGCAGTATGGTCAAGTTATGACCATAAAGGACACTCATACTGTAGACAATTGTAAAATTCCATTCAGGGGAGACAGAAATGATGACTAACAGAAATTAACAAAAACATCAGAAATATGCTAGTAAATGTTACTTTAAACAGTCAACTGTTCATTGATAGGTCTTTAACTTTCATAAAAAGCATGTCTGTACAAGATACCTATATTTTGTCCTCTTCGTACTCAGGAATTTTAATACATTCTTTTTTTCTTTTCTATGCATTTACTATCTTCTAAGATGTGTTCCTTAATTGTGGTTTTCAAACTTCATTATCAGTGGAACTCTCGGTTCCAATTAAATCTTATTAAGAATCCCAATGAAAAAGTCTAAACAGAACTGCTCTAATACTGGGGGAGGAGGGGGGCCGGGAAAGAAGGGGAGTAGACACAGCGTAAAATCATTGCTCTAAATAATTTTTAAAAGCTGAAGTAACGATACAGCCAATTAGAATTTCTTCATTCCCAATGATTATAACCAATTCCCCATTGTTTCCAATTTTTAAGACTATTTCTTGAAAACTATTTCTTGAAGACTATTTCTTGAGTATAACTGCTTTTACCTCAGCTCACTAACAGAAAAGAAAAAAAAACACAGTGCCTTACATATAGTAATTAGATATTTGAATACAAATTTCCTTTCTTCATACTATTCAACAGTGCAAATTACTGTAAAATGTAATTCCACAATAAAGCTATTAAAGTAAGTTTTTTTAAATCTTTAACATGATAGAAATTTGTTTAAATTATCCTTGCTTCATAAGTGTAATTGCTTTAGTCCAAACACGATTCTAAAGGGTTTTTAGAGTCTCAAGAAAACAAAAATCACTCTGTAGTTACTCTGAGAAAATTATTTTCCTGTGCAATTCTGCTGCTATATTTTTAGATTAAAAAAAAAATCCTGTTTATATATATATACACACACATATACCCTATCTGTTATCTATTTCAAACCTGATTTGCTTGAAAAGCAAAGAAAAAAAAATTCAGGTCAGCTTTTAGCTTTGTCAAGCTTAGATTAGAAAAATTTTACCAAAAGTAAAAAATAAACGATTTTTTCCTAAAATAAGCCCACTTGTACTTTTCAGGCGATTTCCTCCCATTCCTTCCACAGAAGGGAAGGCCTTTAATAAACCCCTCACTTCCACCGCCTGCCCGCGTGGCTCAGAGCCGGCAGCCCTGCTCCTCGATGGCCCTCACGGGCTGGACGGGCAGCACCAGGTGCGAGATGCGGCTCCACAGCCCGCTCAGCTTGTCCGAGTCCATGTGGTTGAAGGAGCTGGGAGTGTTCGCGTTGGTAAACCGGGCCCAGAGCAAATCCCGCACTTTCTCTTCCGTTTCCCTGGGGCCCACACTGGCGGCCAGCGTGTCCTCCTCCAGGAGGACGGTCAGGACGAGGGCCACGTCCTTGAAGGCCGCGTTCTCGTGGTCGCAGTACTTGTAGAAGATCAAGGTGGAGCCTGCAGGGAGGGACTCGAAGCGGTGCACCACGGCGGCCTTCCTGCCATCCTCGAAGCCGGAGCTCAGTTCCATGTCCACCAGCAGCTTGACGGTGTCACTGTCCTGCAAGGCTCTTCCCGCCCCGTCGATCTGGATGGCAGAGACTTTCTGGGAAGAGGTGTAGGCGTCCGCCACGCGGTGGCTGAGGCACCGCAGGGTCTCTCTTCCCTCCCGAGCTGCTGTGAAGATGATGGTGGCCGGCTCGGTGGGGTGTGAAGCGTTGAGGTGCTTCTGGAGGAACTTGCGTCCTCTCTGCCACAGAAAAGCGCTCTGGCCCGGAAACGTGTCCTGCAGCTGGCTGAACTGAGCCAGGAAGGCTTCCAACGCTGGATTGGGGGGCACTTGCTGTGCTGGCGAGGAGTAGTAGCTTTGAGCGGAGCTTAGCAAAACAAGAGCCACCAGGGAGACAAGAAAGATGGAGCCTGTCAGCGAATGAAAACGATAAACAACGAAAGGAGAGAACGTGAGTCAGAAATAAAACCCCTGGTAAACTGAAACGAGGCAGAGATACTGTTCGATTTTTACGGGTTGTGGTGAGTTTCTTTTGCCAAAATCCTTTAAACTTTCTACTCTTAAAATCTCCCAGATACACTCTTTTTTTCTGATTTCTTTGACTTAATTATTTGAAGATGCAATATCTTTGTTAGAAGGTAAAAGCTAAGTTTTTGTGTTTGTTGCTATAATATGTTGCTACAATATAATATAAAGATGTGTTGTAGAAATGAACCATCAGGAGAGTCTACCTTCTCAAAATACCTATCACCTGTAACATGCCTTTTATTTTTAAGGGTCAAAATGTAAAAATGCCACTTGCGAGGTTAACAGTCTCTAACTGAAAAGGCAGTTGTAATTTCTTGTTTATGAAATGTCTTTCCTCCTGTGGTAATTCCCATTTGTTAAGGGTGGCAAACTAGCAGCCAGCAAGCACGCCCGAAGGAGAAACCCTAAAACTCCACTGCTCTATTATCCTGTTACCTACTATCAAACACTTTTTAACACGCGATTAAACTGTTTAAATCTGCACATTTTCTAGGTATTCTGAGGATTTCTGAATGTGAATCGACACTGTACCAGCTTTGTTCTCACCATAGCTCCAAAAATCCTTTTTATTACTCTTTCTTATGGCGTCCTGTGCATCCTCTTTATTTTCTTCTAATGTTTGTATCTCCTGTTGATGACTTTCAGCTTCTGGGAGGGAAAAAAAGAACATTATTTCTAGGCAATACACTGAGAGTGTGTATACTTTTACACCTCTAACCAAACTAAAGAATTATTTGACTGAGCCGATTTCTATACTTTGTAAAATTTTCCGTTATATAAGGCTTTTTTCCCCCTGCCTTTTTCTTAAGGTTCACTATTATTTTTATTCTACTTAGCAGAATAAAATGTAGTGTCATGAAATTCATCGACGGATACTGTTGCTACATTCACAATTCCTCACTGGCCCTTACATCAAAGACAAAGCAGCAAGTATCCTAATATTGCAGGCAAACCTGTCTGTGATTCAACCAAAAACATACAAAATTAAGAAGTAATTTAAGTGATGTCATCTGTACACAAGACTCAACATCTCAGGACAGTGATGTTGGAATTCCAGTGTTCGAGTCTCACATGGCTCCTCAGGGCCCCCAAGTATACAAATAACAGAGGCACTAAGTTTAGAGTCAGGAGAGATTACTGTAGTTGCAAAACAGCTTACAAAAGCAAGCCTGAAACTCTTAGTGAAGGAGGTATGTTTAAAAAGCAGGAATACAAGTTTAAGAATATTTATTGACTATATAAAAATGCAGTTGTGGGGTGAGACGCCAACCTTAAAATATGTGGGTAAACGGAGGGCAGTATTTTGCAGCACTCTAAGCTAAGTCATGCTAGAGTGTGGATGTGTGCTGGATTCCAGCCAGGTACTTCATGCAACAGTGAAAGTTGAGTATTGCCCACAACCCTTAACTGGAAAAACAACTCAAGTGTCATACTGTATTAACATAAAATAGTGGAATCACCTTCACCTGCAAAAGACAGTTCATGTAGTCATATCACACCAAGAACAATAGATGTTTAAAATGTCATATCACAGAATTTAAGGACCGAAGGATCTTTAATGATCACCTACTCCAGCCCCCAACCTTAACCTATTATGGCAAAAGATCCAAAGATGTTAAGGGCTTTGCCCAAAGTCACATAATGAGACTGAGCTTAGAACAAGGTTTCTCATCTCCTAGATTAGCTCATTCCATTATATTAAGTTGCTTCTCACAAATAAACTACATTTTAAAAGAATATTTCTGCATACTGGTGACATTCTGATGGCAGATAATGGTCCATACAACTCTCATTCATTTCTTCAGTTAACAAATATTCCTAAGTTGCTTCTCTGTGCCAGGTGCCACAGAAACACAATTAATGAGAGAGACGCAGTTCCTGCCTTCATTGAAGTTACAGACTCTTCTAATGGTTAATGAATGAATGAAACATATAGTATTTGAGATCAGTAATTGAGAGGGAAACATAAATTTCTAGTCTTTAGTCAAGACTCTGACAAACAGAATATTTTGTATTTTATATTCCTTTCCACTGATAAACAGCCATTCATACTGAGCTCTTCAGAGTGCTTATAAAATACAAATCCACACATACAGTCACAGAAGGTGAGAGCTAGAAGAGGCCAGCTGGAGATCTGCTTGTCCAACTTCTTCATCCTACAAACAGGAAACTGAAGTACCAGGAAGTTAAGAGACTTGCCCCAGGTCACCCAGTGGGAAGGCCACAACTGGAATCCACGGCCCTTGAGTTCCAGGAAGGACTTACACATTGTAAGCACATCTTATTAAGAGAATATATGATACTTGTTCTCCTTAATATACAAATGGGGTGGGGGGTGTCAGATATAGAGAAATTAACTGATTTGCTCAAAGTCCTATAAAACTGAAATGACTGCATTTTAAGGGTACTTGTATCATTGGTGTTGGTTTTTTAATTTCCCATCTTTTGATTTTTGTAGCATTTAGTTTCCCCAAAAATAAAATATTTAAAAAACTGTAAGTGAAAGCATGCTCATGAGAAATAAAGAAAAGCCAGAGGTGAATTCATAAAAGGTCATGCCCCCTTTTTTTCCCATCATACTGTATTAAAACAAACAGTAAATAAGTGAAAACACTGTTTAAAAATGCAGTTTATTTAATGGAATGGAATGAGCTAGTCTAGGAGATAAGAAACCTCATTCTAATCTCAACTCAGCGATAGCTCTGTCTGTGACCTTGGACAAGGTCCAAGGAAAGAGATGTCCTCTGGAACGGACCCTGAGCTGCTGTGCTCTCAGTGACAAGCAATACAGAACAGGACAGAAGTCAGTGGGCTCTCTCACCTGGTTCCACCAGTCGCCTCCGCCGTGTACCCTGGCTCTCCGGCCCTGCACTGGAATGATCAGGACCCTGGACACCCTGGGGATCTATGGCAAGTGGCTCCTGTGAAGCTTCAGGTCTGTGGCTTGCTTCCTCAGGGAGGTCTACGGAGCTGCTCCCTAATTGTGCATCTGCTCTTCCTACCTCCTCACTTGGACAACAGCTGGGTTCTGGATGCAAGGATTCTTCACCCCCACTTTCAGGATGCAAGGATTCTTCACCTACACTTTCAGGATGCAAGGATTTTTCCCCTACACTTTCAGGATGCAAGGATTTTTCACCCACACTTTCAGGATGCAAGGATTCTTCACCCACACTTTCAAGATGCAAGGATTCTTTACTCAGACTTTTTGAGGAGAGTTGATGCCCTAGTTTGCCATCCTGAAAACTCTGGTTGGTCTTGAGTTCTGTTTTGTCCTTTGGATAGTTCCCATAACTTGCTTCATCTGGACTTTCGGATTGATTACTTGTATCTGCACTTCCTGAACCTATTGTTTCTACTTCTTGGTGGTCCTTGTTGAGACCAGAGGCAGGTCTCAGGATCTGAGCTTCTTTGGTGGTACTTGCCGTGACTGTGGTCTCCTGTGCCTGAGAATTTATTGAAGGGTCATTTTCCAAATCCTTTTGAGAGTCTGTGGAGATAAAAAATTTATCATTTTTATTGAAAAAAATTTCCTTTTTTGTATTCTAACAAGGTCACTGATTAATAATAAGTAATATTATATAGATTTTATGATTTACAAGGCATTCTTCCTAAACATTATTTCTCTTGACATACACTAAGGAGAGTAAAACACATTTATTATTGTGTTAACAAACTTAACAAATAACACTAATGTAAAACTATTCCGAAGGACAGAGCCAACTTTTGGTTGTATTAAATGCATCCTCTTCCCTAATGAAATAATGGATCTAGGCAATCATCAACTGCAGTAACTAAAACCATTATGCAAAAAGCTGATGAGGAACTTTATAATGGATGTCCAGGCTGACAGCTGCTGAACCAGCTGATCAATCTTAACATCGCACAAAGAGGGAAACCAGACATCATTAACCTCCCGAGTCAATGCAATAGGAAGTACACTGTACCACCTAGGAAGACCTCCTGCAAAACTACTGAACCTGAATCTGGTCATGTTTCTAGAGCTAACTACCAGGTTCAAGAAATACAAGGACAGAGAGATGTATTAAATTATGCCTCAGATGCCCTAGCCGGCTTGGCTCAGTGGATAGAGTGTCGGCCTGTGGACTGAAGGGTCCCGGGTTCGATTCCAGTCAAGGGCATATGCCCGGGTTGCGGGCTCGATCCCCAGTGTGGGGCGTGCGGGAGGCAGTCGATCGGTGATTCTCTCTCATCAATGATGTTTCTCTCTCTTTCCTTCTTCCTCCTTCTCTGAAATCAATAAAAATTATTTTTTTAAAAATTATGCCTCAGAAATATAATCAGTAAAACCCAGAATGGGGGACATTCCAAGGGGCAAGACTCTGCTTCTTTTAGTAATAGCAAGAAATAAAAATAAATGGCAAGAAAAGAAAATGAGGGGTGACGTATTGATTAAGAGAGACTTCAGAGACAGATCAACCAAATGCAGTCTGCGAACGACACTGTTTTAATCCAGTGTCAAAGAAATCAGTTGTTAGAGAAATATTTATGAGATAATTAGAAAGTCTGAATGCCAGATATTTGATGATACTAAGAAATTTTTATTCATCTTTTACAACAGTAAAGGTATTGCAATAATGTTTTGAAAAAAGAATCCTTATCTTAGAGATAAGTATTCAAGAATTTATAGCTAGAATTATATGTCTAGAATTTGCTTCAGTTTAATGACCTGGGGGAAGGGAGAAGAGAGGGAGCACAGATGAAGCCATATGCTGACAGCAGATGAAGCTGTGCGATGGCTACAAGGGGTTCATTTCATGTCTCTCTACTTCTATGTTTGAAATTTTCTATAATAAAACTTTAAAAAGTTAAGCAATCCAAAAGATAGATCATTCAAATGCATTGTGTGCCCCACTGTAAAGAGAGAGAAAAAAAACACTCAACTGTTCCTTAGAGAACTGGGTAAATGTGAATACTCACTGGATACGTGATGATATTAAGAAAAAACAATTTATTTTTTATTTTATTTTATTTTATTATTATTTTTTTTATATATTTTATTGATTTTTTACAGAGAGGAAGGGAGAGAGATAGAGAGTTAGAAACATCGATGAGAGAGAAACATCGATCAGCTGCCTCCTGCACACCCCCCACTGGGGATGTGCCCGCAACCCAGGTACATGCCCTTGACCGGAATCGAACCTGGGACCCTTCAGTCCGCAGGCCGACGCTCTATCCACTGAGCCAAACCGGTTTCGGCCATTTTTTAGATGTGATAATGCTATTTTGGTTATGGTTCTTTAAAATCTATTTTTAAGAGAAAACACTTTCTACAAATAAAACGATGTAATGTCTTATATTCACATTTAAATATTCCATAGCAGGATACAAGTTCAGCATTATGTAGGCAATACTTGAAGTTAGCTGTTAAGTACATGGGGGTTCATTATACAGTTCTACTTTTATGTTTTTAAAAAAACATCCTTTATAAAAGATTTAAATAAATATACCCATCTTCTCTTCTGCAAAATCTACCTCATATTTTGCCTATTTTGTGTACCCTCTATATATACATAAGTAGGGTGGATTTAAATTTCATCTTTCCCTATAATAAAAGACCCCCTCTAAATATATAGCACGTCTCTGTTTTCTTAATTTTTAAAAACATCTTGATTTTTTAAATAAATAACAATTTGTCTACACTCTTTTTAAAGAGCCATTGCATTTTTCCAATACTATAGGTTTCAACGACTGGAGTCTCTAAAACATTAATCTTACTTAAAATTAAGGTCTGATATTTTGGTAAAATTTAGTAAATATGAAAGGATAAGAATAACCAGAGCAAATTAATCAATGACATTAACTTCTTTTTACTTCCGAACTTCAGGCAGGTTTGTCATCAGAGGTTTTCTCTCAGCCCAGCCCTGGTTTCCTGCAGCACCAACCCCAGTGCTGCACAACCCGCCTTACCCTTCGGCGGGTCCCCAGGTCCTCTGTCTGCCATGGTTGTGTTCTCTCTCTTCAGACCTTGGGGTTCTTTTTGTTAGTGTCTGATTTTCCTTGTGAAGAAGTCTTGTTTTCTTCTTGTCCCAAGTCCCAACAGACTCATGCTTCCCGTGGACCCAGGAAACAAGGCATATGTACAGTCACTAAAATAAAACTGGAAAAAAAAAATTTAAAATGACTCTTTAGTCATCCATGGGAGAAATGCCAATTTCAGCTTTACTTATTAAATCTGTTTAGTTTGATAGTATTTCCTCTCTGAAACGTTTTTTAGTGAAGATAAGAATATTTTCTGCCTTTCTCGAGGATCACATTCCACAGGCTAGACTACAAATAGAAAAAAGCTTCAGATTCTTAACTTTGAATACTCTCCCAGTACATTCCAGTGTGGCTGAAAGGATATGAAAACGTTAAGACCAAGTGACCAGAATCTTAAAGAGAATATCTATGCAATTGAAATGAAAAGTCATTCTAAGAGTAGAAATTTAAGTCACTGCTGAATTACTCATTGCCGATTTCCGTTATGTCTTCAATTTCTGTCCCATATACATTTCTCAGAGTTTGCCTGTCAGAAGCTTAGCCTTCGCAAATAACAATGCACAGGGGCTACCTGCAAACTGAGACAGCTGCCTTGAAGTTTGGAGAAGAGAATGTCCATCAGCATATGAATGCATAAAAATGTGGTACATACATACTATGGAGTACTACCCAGCCATAAAAGAGGATGAAATCTTGCCATTTGTGACAACATGGATAGATCTAAGTGAAGTATGTCAGACAGAGAAAGACAAATGCCATATGATTTCGCTCATGTGGAATCTGAAAAAACAACACAACAACAAATAAAAGAACAAACAAAACAAAACAAAACTCATAGTACAGGGCCGATTGGTAATTCCCAGAGGGGAATGGGGTCAATTGTATGGTGAAGGATGGTAACGAGACTTTTGGTGGTGATCACTTTGCAGTATATACAGATGCCAAATTATAATGTTGTAACCTGGAACTTTTGTAATGTTATATACCAAGTTTGACTCAATAAAAAAAATATATATGTGAAGGAGCCTTGTAAAGTGTTTTGAGAGGCTAGTCAACTAGCCGTCTTTGTATCTTTCTCACAGCACAATTTTGTAAAATTTAATTTTACTCCCAAATGCCTACCTAGCACAGTGCCTGGTATAGAATTTTCAATCCATATTTTAATTGAAAATAATATGAATGAAGAGTGGTGCTACTTATAAACTGGAAGGGAAGGGAGGAGTTAGGGACAGGGCTCCTTTCTGCTGGTGCAGATGTATGAACTGTGGTGATAAAAAAAAAAAAAAAAAAGAAAACAGGTCAGTGTCTCCTGGGGGAAGAAGTACTCACTGGAAAAGGGCATGAGAAGACACTTTGGGGTCCAGAAAGTACTTCAGGTCTTTATTGAGGTGGTGGTTACAATCAGTTGTCATCAAATGAAAAATCTGTACATTTTGTTGTACGTAGAGTATCTTCAATAAAAGTTATAACACAATGCTTTCAAAATGTATTACTTGGAAACAAAATGTATTACTAGGTTCCAGCCAACAAACAACCTGCAAAGGAGCCGTCACAAGTATTTCTATCATCTCACGAATGCTCAGTATACACCTTTCTTGTCTCAAGGCACTTGCCATTCCGAAGCCCATTGCATTCGGACCCTTTAACGTATCATCCTCGCATGTTCATAGCTGAAGTGGTATTCCCTCAAGGCTGCAAGTTAGAAGTGGCACAAACATGGTTTCCTGACACAGCCTCAAAGAAGTCACATGCTGGGGTACCTGGGAGATCTGGAGGCCACTATTCCAGAAGCAGGTCAATCTTTTGAATGTGTCCAATCCATATACTAGGAAGTGTGCGCATTAGGAACCCCTGGACTGCATCATGGAAGTGAGGCAGAGCCTTGTCCTGATGGAAATAGGGATGTTGGAGCCTTTCTGCAACTATAGGAAAAAGTCCAAAAGACACCTTTAAAGGGATCTTTCCCAAAAACAAACTGAGGAAGACCCCATGTACCTATATGGCATAAAAACATTTACATTTAGTGAAATCCTTTCAAGTTCAATCATGAAATGTTGGTTTTCGGTGCCCCCTCTGTGGAGGAGGTGATTTATTTTTCCACGTAAGTAAAAATGAGGCTCATTGCGGGCGGTTATCTCCACTCCCCTGTGACCCTGAAATCTGCAGCAAAACTTGGGTCACTTTGCTATAACTGTTTCCAGGAAGGACTGAGACTGGTTAAAGCAGTCAGGTTTTATTCTCCATTTATGGAGAACACACCAGATGGCAGAATGAGGAATGCCTTTCCTTGATTTCGATATCCTGGGACTTCTCCAAAGAGGTACACAAATTTGCTTCACTGCTTCCTCTGCAGATGTGGCTCCTCTTTGTGCTCACCTCCTTGTACCAATGGCAATGCCGTGACAACCTGGGATGTGTTCCCTGTCTGGTACACAGAATGACTTAAGTAACACAAGCAAGTTTAGCAGACTCCAACATACAAAGTTAAATGTTGCAAGGGGAACTCTATAAGCTGATGCATATTACAGATTTATGTATAAATTTATAACTAATAAAAATTTGAAAGTATCCAATTCTTTGTATTGCTCTGTCCATTAAGTAGATATAAAATTAAAAATTAAATGCATGAATAGAAAGGATAGACATCGACTTCCATTTAATGCTTGCTTCTGCAGAGGGAAGGACAAGAATAGGCTGAGGCCTTAACCAGTTTGGCTCAGTGGATAGAGCGTTAGCCTGCGGATTCAAGGGTACCAGGTTCGATTCCCGTCAAGGGCATGTACCTTGGTTGCAGGCACATCCCCAGTAGGGAGTGTGCAGGAGGTAGCTGATCAATGTTTCTCTCTCATCGATGTTTCTAACTCTATCCCTCTCCCTTCCTCTCTGTAAGAAATCAAGAAAATATATATTTTTTTAAAAGAATAGGCTGAGAGCAAGGACAGGAGGCAACTGTATCTATAAAGTATCTTTTAAAAGAAGGAACAGAGGTAAATGTGGCAAAATGTTCATGGGATCTGGATACATAGCTAAATGTTATTTTCTGTACTTTTCTGTATGTTGGATGTAATGAATAATTTTTTAATAAGTAATAAAATAAAACGTTCGCTTCTGTGGGGGAAAGAATAGAAAGAAAAGGCCTGTGATAGTAACTCTGAACCCACAGAGAATGAACTTACAGTCCAGAGTCACCATTCAACCACAGTCTCCCATACATTTTGGGAGGAGACAGGACAAGGAAAAGCTGCTGGGAAACAGTAGGACCTCACCCAACTGCCACTCCATTCTGAAAACTTCTAGTTTGGCCCTGGGGACCAGGCAGGAGTTGGGGAGGGGTTAGAGACCTGGAGGAGACGTGCAGAAGAGGGAAGAGGCAGGTATCAGAAAGCACAGGTGTCTGCAACACCAAGAGCTGAATATTTCTTTTAAAAAGAAGAGGGAAATTAGAAGTTTAGCAGCTGAGAAGGACGTAAGAGAATCCTTCAATCCAGGATAGGAGTTTCGACATAAATGCCATCGTATCAAAGGTATGACAGTGCCCAATAAGTGTATATCTATTATTCTATTTTTATATGCTCCTTTTAATGAAGGATGCCATTTATGCTCTAGACATAAAAAGTAGCAGATAACGTGGTCCTCAAACAATTTACAATCCTGCTATGGAGACAAGTAACAAAATATACACAACGACAATAACAGCTAACATTTATTGAGCATGTTCTTTGGGCCAGGCAGCCTTCAAAGCACTTTATGTATTAACTTATTTAATCTTCACAACAATTTTATGATGTATGGACCATGATTATGCCTTCTCTTTTCCAGATGAAGTGGATACAGAAGTTAAATCGCCCAAGGTCATTCCATAGTCAGAATTCGAGGACAAGCCCAGATCAGCCGGCTGCAAGGCCATCATGTGTCCTCTATAAACTGTTACCAAGTTGTGTTCTCGAGATCCCATGGCAACTCAGGGCTGCTGGAGGGACTTGAAGAGCTGGAAGGGGTATGACTCACTTCACTTTGACAGGTATCTATAACATGCTGACAGCCACATACTCTTTGAATGCCATAGAGTTCTTTTTTTGCCTGGGCTTGCCTGGGGTTCCTTCTCCTATGGCTTAGAGATAAATCTTAACAGTCATCCACAACCCAGGACAGCTTTCTTTTGATGACACATTTTCTTCCCCGTCTGCCCAGGCATGTTTCCATTAACCTTCCACTCCCAGGTCTGCCATAAAATAACAGGTAATTATAAAAGTCATTTTTAAAGTGGCCACCATTATGTGTACGTAGTATTATCAACCCGTTCACAGTATGGAGGTAGAGATGGATATGGCTCACATAATCCAAAACAGTGGATAACTCTCCACATCATTTGTCATGAAAATGAATTTTAGGAACATACTTATACTTTGAAATGCATTATTCATAACTCTGAAATGGAGTCCTCTAGAATGATCTATAGTATTTTAAACCAAGCGTAGTCATACTGAAATGACCTAAGCTGAAGAGCTACAAAGCTTTCTAAATTTTCTCCCTTGCTCAGTGTTATGAACTCTGCCACACGATGTTATTTCTGAGCGAACCATGTAACTGGTATGTGATAATCATGTCTGAAGGCAAAGTATCCTACTTAAGGTAAATTAAAATTAATATTTTTTATTCCTTCCTTTTGCCCATATACTCACATGGCTTATAATGAAACCATACAGAACTGTTTGTGAGGGTTGCTACAATGGTGCAATCATTTTAATTTGTGAGAAATGTGTGACTGAGTTGTAACCTGAAATATCAAGTGACCTTCAGTCTGACGGGAAATCTCTCTATGTCACCAGCAAAGTACAATTACCTATCACTACCTTGTTGCACAATGAGCACTCCATTCCCATCTTTTTAAGCCAGATAACTGGACACCCTGGATATGTTGCTATTGTATGTCTCCAGGTATGGCCCACAGAGCACCTACCTACACAAGGCTCCTAAGGCACGACTTATAAAATGCAGATTCCTGGGCCCTGTGAGCAACCTAAGGAATCAAGATTTCTGTAAGATCGAGAAATTCGAGAGAGAAAATTCGCAATTTTTGACAAGTTCACCCAGATATTGATTTGAAAATCAATGGCATAAATCGGTTTAATTTGTCTTTACTACGAAAAGGAGAGATTGGTTAAAACAAAAGACCTCGTCTCTATTTTGCTGATAATTAGAATTGCACATATGTAGAGGGTTTCTGAAAAAATGTAGAGCAATAATATTGATCATAACACCATCCTCAAAAGCAATACCTCAAAGTAAATGTTCACTTTCTGGAGTGAGCTTTAGGATAGCGAAGGAGTTCTTAATCAAGGCATAATGATAAACTACTAATCTTCACTCAGTTTAGCAGTCCACACAGTTTATTCAGCAATATAACAGGAGAGAACTTCCACCAAGATAGACATAAGGCAGATACAGGAGAGGTCTCTGGGGTACATTCTTTATACAGACGAACAAACAGCTCAGGTTTCACAACATGTGGCAGGCATGAGTTCCTGCATGAAAACAGCCATTCATTCCCCAACTGCTTCCTTCCTCAAAGAGCCCTCATTTTATTAGGGGAGACAATGTGCCCTGCCCAGGCACTGCCAACTCCATTCTCCTTGGCCTGGCTTCCCAAGCGCCTGTTTTAACCAGTACCTTCTAATGAGATGTAAGGAGAAATTGGTGAGGGACTGTTGGGAAAGATTTCCTTTCCAAGTAAGACAGAGTCTTCAAAGGAGAAAGCTTTCGCTCCCTGCTTCCAAATGGGACTGAAATGCATAGAACAGCAACAAGCCACACTGTAATCACTGAGGACACTAAGAGGACAAAAGCTAATGCGATAAGGATCCCAGAGGGGAAAAACAGAGAGGACCTGGGACCCTGAGAACATTGTTGAGTTTGCTACACAAGCAATGGGTTATCTAGCATCTTAAGTGGAATTTTAAACTTATCCCATGGCCTCTGAGATGTTCCAACAGGTTTTTCTAAATTTCTCATGAACAAGTGAAGGCCAGAATGTGGCTAACACCCAGCAAGACCGTCTTGGTTTGAAGATGCTTCCCTTAGACTATTCCTACTATTATGGAGTCAAGCTGGAGACCTCTTTTTGTAGACTATCTCATACACAGGCACTTTTCCATTTCCTGGCAGGACATTCTAAGTTCAGTCACCACAAAGACAGGACAGTCTTTGTTTATGTAGAGCCAAGTAAGTATAGACAGTGGCATTTCTGCATGTTTTTGTGTAACCTATGTAGGTGTTACCCAATAGGATGTGGTTTCTCTGTCAGTGACCAGTTATCTATAATATCAAAGCCACACTAAGGCCAAATAGAGCCAATTATGAATAAATGATTATATATGAATAAATTATATATACAATCAGAAGGGGTGGAATTTAGAACAATATAATTTCTTATTAAAATGTCTAGTTCTTTTACTGAAATAATCTAGAACAGCGGTTGCCAACCTTTTGGCCCTTACAGACCACCAGTGAGGCGACCGCTGATCTAGAAGCCAGCTACAATGAAGATGCTTTCCCACAGAAGTTATCACTAGAAATATCATCATGGTATACAAAGTATGGGGCTCCTCCAGGACTACCTTGTCCTCTGTCAGTAGTTAGGCTGTGGAGCTTTTCAGGAGGGTAAGCTAATTCCAAAGCACAGGGAACACGAAATGCTCTGGCTCCAGATGAACAGCCGGCTGGAATACTGACTAAATTCATGCCGAACAGACTAGGTGTAGACCATGGGAGCAGACCCAGCAAGTTCAGCCGTTCCCCGAAGTAGTGACAGTCTGAATTAGATATAAAAGGCGTCATTTTTCCATCTTCCTTGAGTTACTAGCACAAAACTCTCTAGAATCTCCATGATTGTGACTCTTTAAGAAGTTATTTGCTTTGGCCAAGTTTTTTGTTTAAGGTTGTGTCTGTTCTAGCCAAGATTAACTGTAATGCTGGGTTAAAACCAGCTAGTCTAGAGTCATGTATCCTTTTTCTAACCAGCGGAGGACCCAGAAGAAATGGGTGGCAAGCTTTTTCAAAGGTCCACCTGGTAAGATTTTGGGGAGCCCATTCAAGTGGGAAAGACCAAGGAAGGACAAGGCTTCTGTTAGCAGGATTATCAGGATAACACTCAGGGCAATAATCAGCCCTGTTGATACGGTCTAAGAATACTTGGTAACATTCATTTTCAATAAGTTCAGTTTGGTACAACCAGTGGCCTAGTTCTAAACTAGGAAACCACTGTTGTCCACAGTCAGGGCAATGTGAATTATCTGAGAACATCTGGTCCTCCAGCGATAACACAGAAAGCAATGTAACAGTAAGAGACAACAATGACAAAGGGAGATACCCAAATAGCCAGTCCTATCACAGGTTTGGTTTAGCAATTTCTCAGTCCAACCAATACTACTTAGAGAGTTAAATCTGGCTTGCACTTACGTGCAATTCTTCAAGATTTCGTTGTCTATGTTTCACTCAATTACAACTCAGCGAACAATCCAGTCTATAATGTTCTCAGTCACTTGCTAGGAGCACAGATCACAGAATAGCCCCTTCAAATTCCAGTTTCTCAAGAAAAGCTAGAACTCTGGTCTAAATTAGTTATTTTTTCTTGTGTGTTAATCAGCTGATGATCTCATGCAGAGGCATTTGGCTTACTCTGCTTTGCTGGTTAGCTATTGTGTCTGCTTGGTCAGAGAGAGGAGCTGACAGATCCAATGGGTCTTTGTGGGCGCTGGCACTCTTGCCGTTGTGATACACGTACCCAAGTCTTAAGGTCTTGGCACTTTACAGCGATGTAGGGGGTCAGGAAAACCTGGGAGAGTCCTCTTGAGCGTGGATCCAATGAAGTCTTTCTTGGGAGGACCTTAATCAGGACCCGTCAGGGAAGTAGCTGATGCTGAGCTGGTTGGAGGGTCTGGGAATGCTTCACATACCTGTAAATGATAACACTTCAGACGACTCATAATGGGTTTTCAGTTGCTCACAATATTATTAGGAACATGCATTGGGAAATCATTTGAGTCAATCAAGATGGATGAGAATTGTCTCACAGGTTTCCCCATACAATTTCATCTAGGCTCAAACTAATTTATCTGTTGGGAGTTATTCCTATACTTATTTTGGCACTAGGAAGGGTTTTGGTTCATTTAAGATTTGTAATAGCTTCATTTTTTAAAGACTGTTTCATATTTTTTACTTCTTTTAAATTTTGGGAATAATAAGGTCTGCATAATCACATTTAACCTGGTAGAACTTTGAGATTTCTTGTATATCTCTTTTGTGAAATAGATGCCATATATGGTATTCCCAATAATGGTTGGGAGAACATTAAGGATGACAGTCTTTCTATAATAGACTTCAATCCATTCAAGAAAAAGCTTACAAAATTATTCAATAATATTCTTAATAGCGAACAATAGGAAGTTGGATGAAATCCTTTTGAAGGCTGGGAAAGAAACCAAAAGAGGCAATGCCCACATCTATTTTTATAGGTTTGTGCACAGTGTAAGTTTAAGAAGGCAAGTAAGGCCTAGTTCTGAGCAATGGTCCTGGGCTATTCTTAGAAAACATATAGTAATTCAGTTGGATTTGCAGATACTACCATGATCTCTGTAATCCTTCATAGCATGAATAGAACAAGTAGATGAGGTGGGGTAGCAGGATGTATTGGACAACCAGAGAATCACCTAGGGTGCCACAGGCCATCAGAGGACAATGTATACCCCGACTTTCTCCGGTGTTAGTGAATTTTGAGGCTGGATGCTATGAGGGCACTAAGGCAAGTTTAATGCCATAGGGGGCCAATATTTTGATAGAAGCCCCAGATGAGGTGCAGAAAACATCAGTGTAGATATATTGATGTGCTTTTTGAAGTCAGGTAATAATGTACAGTTGAGAACAGAGTGAACAGATGGTAAGATTTCTAACTCAACCTTTATGGTGACAACAGGGCAGAATGGATTTTCCTGGGGGTCTACTGACAAGAGCCAAAGTCAAAGTTTCAGTTGTGGTACTGGGAAATCTTGGGTGTCTAGTACATGGAACATGTTCTTGATGATGAACACACATGATTATGGAGTTTAACTTAGGACTTAGCAGTAAAGTTATATGACCGACATAGAAAAGATATAGAATTTTGGATTTTTAGAGTGAAAAGGGAAAGTGCAATTAACACCACAAGATGCTCTTTCACACCCACCAGACTGGCAATAATTAACAAGTTTGACAATGGGAACTCTGTAGACTCTAGACCAGTGGTTCTCAACCTTCCTAATGCTGCGACCCTTTAATACAGTTCCTCATGTTGTGGTGACCCCAATTTCATTGTTACAAAATGAACATAATTAAAGCATAGTGATTAATCACAAAAATAATCTGTAATTATATATGTGTTTTCTGATGGTCTTAGGCAACCCCTGTGAAAGGGTCGTTCGACCCACAAAAGGGTCGCGACCCACACGTTGAGAACTGCTGCTCTAGACAAAACCATCCCTACCCAAGGACATCTCCATTGGCTGGGTCGAGAGGAAGCCCTAATGCTCCAAAAGCTCAGAGTAAATCTACCCTCACCCCAACCTTCATTTCTCCAACTTCAACAGTCAAGCAAGCACTAGAGTTCCAAGTATTCCTGAATCAAGAGAATACTAGTGTTCCATATGCCCCTCTCCTGGTCCCTTACACTATGGGCAAGAGTCAAAGTGGGCCCCAAAGCACTAAGTGCTTAGAATAAGATCACCTAATACCAGCCTCCTCACTCATTCCTCAGCCTTATCACTGCTGGAAGAGTGAAGAGGGCCTCCAAAAATGTTCCCAGCAAGATTCTCAAACTCTACCCCCAACCTCAAACTCACAGCTTCACTACCATCATCTGCCTGAAAGCATCAAGACCAACCAATCTCACCATACCTTATCTTTTTATGTCATCACCACATGAAGCCCAGAGCTTCCTGGTTGCAGTTCATCCCCTTAGTCTCTAACCCCATGACTCTAAGAGCAGTGAGATAGCATTCCCTCGCCTTGCTTTATTCATTTTTCCCCCATAAACATGTACCATTTTGATATATTAAATATTTTAGTTATTAACCCCTACTAAAATACAGACTAGGACTTTTTTGTCTTTTTGTTTACTGCTGTACATGCCCAATAAACATTTCTTGAATGAATAAATAGCAACTTGAATTTTATACCCTGACAAAAGGAGTATAAATTAATTCAACTACTTTCAGAATTAAGTTGGCATTATTTAGTAAAGACGAAGATTTGCATTCCCTCTAATTCAGTAATTCCACTCTTAGCTTTTATAACCTAGAGAAATTTCACATGTGCATTTAAAAAATTAATAAAAATATTTATTCATGGTAGTATTGTATATAGTAGCAAAATAACAGTCAAAATGTCCATGAACAGTAGAATGGATAAATAAATTGAAGTGCTGCCATACAATGAAATACTATTTGTAGATGAAAACTCAAGAATGTAGTATTGAGCTGAAAAGTAAAAAGCAAGTAGCAGAATACACACACACACATAGTTTCCATTTACATAAAGTTTCAATATATTGTTTAGGAATAAATATGCAATAAAGTTAAAAAGAAAAAGATAAGCTCAAGGATAATTATTACCTTTAATGGGAGAGGGAGGGGATGCAATCATAGTTTTTTTTTCCCTCCACTGAATCATAAATCCTAATAGTTTACATAATCTCTATTCAATCTTTTATCATTTAAAAAAAAAAAAAGGATAGAGTGGAAATAGCAATGGACCAAAAACGATTAATAGACAACCAAACTGTCACATTGTGGACAAGAAGAGCTGCAGCAGTTACTCTGCTTAGAGGAAAAGTGGGTGAAAAGAGGAGTCCCTCAGAAGGATCTGGATCTTTGTTTTTCTCATAAAATTGTAAGCAACTATCTTACAAATAGGGTAAACAGGCTTACCCTAATGTTAGTATGGAAAAGAAAGTTTATCTTGTCATACTCCATAAAGACATGCATGTTTGCAGGGAGGATATTATCTCATAGGGTGTCTTTGTGCAAGTTAGAAAAAGGCACCCTCAATCCAGGCAAAAGGCAGTCAAGAGAATCTCACTTTGCCAGGTATTTAACAGTTACCCTGTCTGTGTACTTAGTAACTATTGTTATAATAATACTTAGTAACAATAGTTAACACTTATTGAGTATCACTATCTGTTCTAAGCACTTTACATGTATTAACTCATGTAATTTTTACAATAATTCATTTGAAGAAACAGAAAGGTTGAGCCACTTGTCCAAGGTTACACGGGTCATAGAATTAATTGGTATCTGAATCCAGGCGGACTGGTTCCAGAGCCTGTACTCTTAGCCACTAGGAAATATCACCTTTCTGAAGCAGTGGCAGTTGAGCTTAGAACGCCTTCTTCATAAACTATGTGCAAATTTAAAAGGATCCTCTTCAGTGGTGTGTGTATAGATTGAGGTGGACGTGGGGGAAAATTCTCTCATAATTTTCCTCTTCCACACAAAAAGGTTGAGGATAGGTTTCAGGGAATCCTGAACCCCCTGGAATTACATATAAATTTCTTTATGTATACATACACATTTTTTCAGGAAAGAGAGTACAATGGGGCCTTGACTTACGAGTGTCCCGACTAACGAGTTTTTCGAGATACGAGCCGTCTCTCGGCCGATTTTTTGCTTTGAGTTGCGAGCTAAAATTCGGGTTACGAGCCAGCTTCAGATACCCCACCGCTAGTTGAGATACGAGATTTGACATACGAGTAATTTGAGTTACAAGCTCCGTCACGGAACGAATTAAACTCGTAAGTCAAGGCCCCACTGTACTTTTAGACTCCCAAAGGAATCTGAAATGGTTCAGAACCATTCGGTGTTGCTTCCTTCCTCAACTCTATTAGCTTAAGTCAAAAGCAGTTGATTAAGGTTAATATATGATTACTGTCAGGCTTGTAGAAATGCTGAAAAATACCTAGAGAACCAACATTACTCTACTGATTACTAAACATAATTGTTTAAATTAAGGAAACCACCATGTACTAGGCCCAATGTCAAGTTCTATGGATATCGAGAGAAAAATCTTACAGGACTTTTAGATGAACACAAAATCTAGACTGGAAGCAAATTTTAGGTAAAGGCTAAGGGCTTTTATATGGATATCAAAAGATCGCCTGTAGAGATCCTATGAAATTCAGGAAGGCCCACAAAAGAAGCTGAATGCCTTTATTTTCAAACAAACCTAACCAACAACAGTGGGCAAAAAAACAAACTTTAAAGAGCTTTTCTGCCGCACATATACTACATAAAAGAAAAACACAGATCAGGTTTGTTTGTTGTTGTTGTTTTTGTGACAACTCAAATAAATTTAAGAGTCTTCCTGATACTTTATTAGATCAGAAAATAGCTCTTTAATGTGCTAGAAAATAGAAAATGCAGATTTATTTAAACCACTGAAATTCACATACACTAATGATGGCAGCTTAATACATATTAAATAATTATCTTCTCTAAAAATTCTGACTATAGACAAATACCATTCCCTTGTTCTTTTTGGTGGTAGGATAATATAAATTTCAGAATGAATCAGGACTGGGTGACTTCTCTAGGCAAATATATTCTTTAGACTTTGGTCTCAGCCAACTCCTCATATGCTATATAAAATCAAAAGATAGGCACACAGAAAAAATTTAAATGCTTTAAACCATCTTGAGTTTCCATTTTGAATATTTTTTCCACAGAAAGGCTAATGAGTAATCAAAACTGTTTTGTTTTGTTTTTTTTTTGTACAAGACAGTTTCTCTAAGTTTCAGAAACTCTAAAGTGAAATATTTGGAGTTTCATATTTCACTAGTTTGGAATTTAGATAATGGGAGATTAAGGAGTATTTTAAAAAGGG